GGAATTGGTGGGCAGAGGCACGGTGGTCATGGGGCGTGGGACGCAGGACTGTCCCTCCCAGGTGCATAGTCTCATGCCTCAGAGATGCTGCGAGTTCCCAAAGCTTCCTCTTAGGCGTCAGATCCTCACAAGAGGCCCACTCAGATAGTTGACTGACTATGGTCACAAGCCAGGAGGAGCTGTGTTAGGTAACAGGGCTGAACTCCCATTTCCGGGCTGGTGCTCTGTCCTTCCCCATTGACCTTCCCTGCACCTGGCTGGCCTCCACACTTGCCCCTCAGCACCTGCAACCTCAGCACCCCTGTGCAAGATGGGGCACCCCTGGCTTCTCTTCAGAACTCTTGTTTGGGGGCAGGTCCTGCCCTCAGCTTCCTGAAAATGGGGAGGTTCCAGGCCAGTGCTGATCCCCCAGAGGGGCAACAGGGCTCCCGTGGGTACTATCCACATCTTCACTTGCACAGTGCACAGTCTGCTCACGCGTCCCTGGCGGCCCTGACAGAGGGTCCCAGAGCCAGCATTAGCTATAGGGGGTCCCTGGCTGCCTCAGTCGGTGGAGCATGAGACTCTTGATCTCCAGGTTGTGAGTTCAAGCCCCTTGTTGGGTGTAGAGGTTACTTAAAACAACAACAACAACAACTATATTGCAACTGTCACCCTCCTCCAGTCCTCGGTCTACCCAGACGCTTGTCTCACACTATCTGCTGACGCTGCATGGATCTGTCCTGTGTCCTCGGCGGCACTTCGCACAGGCCTGGCACTCAGTTGGCTTGCTTGCACTTCCGTGCTTGTTGTGGACATGAATGGCCCAAGTAACTGATGCCCAGAAGCATTCTGGAGACCTTGGAGGGTCTGGGAAGAGAACCAGGGAGGAGAACTCCAGAGGTCACAACCTTCCCAAGCTGGCCCTCAGATCCCTTTTTGTGTTTTTAATTGACTTTAAGGAACAAGAGGTTTGGCCAGTTTCCTCAAAGTTTTTGGCCTCTCCCCAGCAGCAGAGGGTGGAGGGCAGAGGTGAGGGTGGTGCAGGCACGATCCATTACACGAGGCTAAATCCGGAACTGGAAGGAATTGCTCTGTGGTAGCTCTGTTGCCAGAGAGGATGGTTATCTTTCCAGGAAAGGCTGAGGAAATCCTTAGCAGAGCCCTTGCCTTTCTGCCTTGGAGAAAATGTCTGGGGCAGGCTGATGGGCGTAGGGAAGGATTCCTCCAGGTGAGGGCAGGAAGGTGGTGGACAGGGGAGTGAATCCCAGGTGGGCAGGGGAGTAGAGCGTTAACTATGACTAGACCCAGGTCCTGGCAGCTGCTGCCCTTCCCCCACCTCCCTTCTCACCCGCCATCCCCCCAACCCCTGAGGTTCCCCATTGTTACCAGAGACAACATCCTGTTTCCTTTACTGGCCTCCGTGGCCTAGGTCCAGGAGCCCCTCACTATGCTTGGAAGGGGGGGTGGGGTATGGGACACGGGACAGGATGGGGGATGGGACAAAGATAGGGCAGGCAGCTGACTCCAGGTCCAAGGTCCAAGGATCTCACAGCTGTAGGAACGGAGGTTGGAGGGGAAGTGTGACTTACTTGAGGTCATCAATTGCTGCTTATGTGGGCCAGTGCTTGGTTGGGACTCCACGGTTCCCTCAAAATTACATACTTCGAAGGTTCCCACAGGGAACCATCGGGTCTGAGTTTCTTCCCTTGGGTTCATGTGACTGGTTTCCCTCTCTAAAAGGCTCTCTCTAGCTGTTCATGGCAAACAGGGTTCTCACATCCTAGGACTGTACTCAGATCAAAGGAGCTGTGGGGCTCAGCACCGGCAGGCTCTGGACAAACAGGTGTGAGTTTAGATCCTATCCACAAAACCTTCACTGATTTATTCTTTACATTGAACGTTTACTGCCAAGCGCTGGGGACCACCAGCAGACACAATAGATCTAAGTCCCTACATTCTCTGGGACGGTATCAGTAAGATAAGGAAGTAAAATAAAATACATAGCGTGTCAGACAACGATTTGCTGCGGAGACAAGTAAAACAGAGGTTTGGATAGAGAGGGGACAGAAGAGATGGGGTGAAGGGGGTGTAATTTTAAACAGGATGGATAGGTAACAAGTGGGCAAAAACTTGAAGGAGGTGAAATAGAACCCCGTGTGGATATCTGGGAAAGAACCTTGTGGGAAGGTGAACAGTGGGTGCAAAGGGCCTGAGGCAGAACCATGTCTGGCACAGTTAAGGAGCAGCAAGGAGGCCAGTGTGGCTGGAGCAAGATGAGAGAGACAAGGATAGAAGTCAAGTCAGGAAGCTAGGCGAGGTCAGACCACCCGAGGCCTGGTAGGTTGCAATTAAAGCCTTTGGCTTTAACTCTGAGATGGAGCCACTGGACTGTTTGTGCAGAAAGGAGACAGGATCTGATTTATGGGTTTTTTTTTTGTTTTAAGTACAAATGTACTTAAGTACAGAGCCTAATGCAGGGCTTGAACTCATGACCCTGAGATTAAGACTTGAGTTGAGATCAAGAGTTGGATGCTTAACCGACTGGGCCACCCATGTGCCCCTGATCCATATTTCATAAAGATCATTCTGGTCACGGCATGGAAAAGAGAAACAGGAATACCGGTTAGGAGGCTACTACAGTAATTCAGGTGAGAAATGATGAAAGCTCAGATAAGGGTAGTCAGGGTGACATCAGTGAGAGGTGGTGAGATTCTGAATATTTTGAAAGTAGAGCAACCAAGATTTACTAATATGGGGACTAAACTGTGACGGGAAGAGAGAAGTCAAGATAACGTCCAAGATTTTGTCCAGAGGAACTAGAAAGTTGCAGTTGCCACTTGCAGAGATGGGAAAGCCTGAGGGAGGGGCAGGTTTGGGGGGAGATCAGGCGGTACGACTGCAGTGTGACTCTGGCTAAGGTGCTTAACCACTCGGAACCTCGGTTTCTTCATCTGTACAATGGTTGTAATAGCTCTCCTGCAGAATGTGTGGTGCCCAAATAGGGTGTCTCTTGATCAGATGGAGGGCCCCAACTGATGGGATGATGACGGTGGAAGCCGGTGGCGTGGGCCATGAAATAACTCACCTGAGGCAGAACAAGGAAGATAGAAGTTTATTGAATACTCCGCAAGGGAGAATCTGGACAGCAGAGAAGGGGCTATCTACAAGGCAGTGGGAGGGGGGCGCTTTTAAGGAGGGAAAGTGAGAAGGAATGGTGACATAGGGAATTTTCCCATCGTTGGTACCTGGGCCTAGTTGTCATGAGTCAGTTAGGGCCTAGGGATATTTCGGGGTGGATTGCCTATTGGACCTGTCTATACTCAGCCAGGTGGTCACTGTGCCCCCCTCCTTTTATTTATTTATTTGGGGGGCAGGGAGGGGTGCAGAGAGAGAAGGAGAAAATTCCAAGCAGGCTCCACGCTCTCAGTGCAGAGCCCCGCGTGGGGCTCATACTCATCAATCGTGATGAGATCATGACTTGAGCCAAAACCAAGAGTTGGATGCTTAACCGACTGAGCCACCCAGGCGCCCTTCACCGTGGCCCTTCCTGCCTTCCATTGCTCAGGCCTGTTGGTCTACAAGCAGCCTCTACAGAATGGTGGTAAGAACTGAGTGAGGTCATGAACTCACAGGATTGGCACACGTGTCCCACCCCATGGCCCAAGGGAGACACATGACCAGCACATCTCCTCAGGAAGCAACTGGAAGGAGAGGAAGAATATACCCATCAACCTGAACTCTAGCTCCTCTCCCTGCTTCCTCCAGGCAGAGTGGGAGGGCCTTTCTGACATTTAAGGTTTCTTTCTTCAAGGTCTTACTCGTGGTTTTAGCGACGGTGATAGTGCTCATGGGGGCGGGTGGTGGGATGATGATAACGATTCCCAAAGCTGTGAAGTTGACGGAATGCTTTCAAGCCATTACCTCTTCTGAGTCCAGAAAGGCAAAAAGTGTACCCATTTTATGAAGTAGGAGGATGTAGTCAAACCCACGTTGTCTCTGTATTTTGCTTTCTCATGGAACTTCATTTCATCTTGGGCAAAAGTGGGTTAAGTGGGTCCTCAAGTGGGTGGGAGTGCCACCCAGCTGTGTCCAACTGGGCCCAGCCATCAGATGGATGGTGACCCCACTCTTTTACACCCCCCCCAAAGGAGATAGCCCCCAAGTGCTTACCCACATCATTCCATTCCAGTTACTCCCAGTTACTGAGATGACAGTGGAAAGGACCAGAGACTAGAAAAACCAATGTGCCTACAGTCACAGCATTAGAAAGTCCAGTCTGGGTTCCAACTCTGAGGTCTACACCCAGCAGGAAGAATTCTTGTGTAGGCTCCTTCTACTTCTTCCAAACCAGCTGCCCCCTCCCCTCAATACACCAGGTGCCAGAACACAGCTGTCTCTTGGTTAATCCCCCTGCCCAGGCAAGCTGTCCTAGGGTGGGGCTGAACTGGGTGCAGCCGCTGTGTGGTGTCCAGTGAGGCAGTGCCCCTGTAGGCAAATTCAGCCAGAGACGATTCTGAGCCACAGTTCTGACTGGTGAGAGCTGCTACTGATCGGTGGGGTTGGGGGATCGGGAGGGTAGGAAGTGTCAGGTCTGGGTGGATCAAGGGGCCTCTTAAGAAAATTTACAATTGCCTGGGGAAGAACTCCTGCTAGGTTGAGACTGAGGATGTGCTTGAGGAGGGGTGGGACTGACTGGGGAGGGGGGCGTCTAGGGACCAGGAGGAGAGCCTGGAGGCTGGGAAGGGTGAATTGTTGGTCAGAGCCTCAGCTTTACTCTTCCCTTGGCTCGGTGTCTCCAGCTGCATTGTGGTAAGAACCTTCCTGCCACAGCTACCTTGCCAAAAGGGCTTCTGGAAAACAAAAATGACCGGTGAATTCAAGTGGGGGGAGCATGAGGGTATAAACTGAAGTGGGGGGGTAGTGGGGAGCCTGCCCACCCCAGTTTTTGCCAGGTAAGGAGGGAGCAGGAAAGGGGCGAGCCTAGAGTCTGGATTGCTTTCGCAGTCACTGACCCAGCCATGCCCGTTCCGCTGCTCCCGCTGCTGCTGCGAACTCTGATGTCCCATCTGCTGCTGCCTGCCACCCGCCTGGCCCGCCAGCACCTCCTGCCCCTGCTGCGCCGGCTGGCCCGCCGCCTGGGCTCGCGGGATGTTCGAGAAGCTTTGCTGGGCTGTCTGTTGTTCATTCTCAGCCAGAGCCGCCCGCCTGACGCTGAGGAGGTCTCCAGAGTGGCTGGCCAGGAGAGGAGGGAGAAGCTAGCTCCCCCTAAACGAGGCTGCGATCCCTGATACTGGCCGTGCCATCAGAAGCCGTTCTTTTGGAGCAAGACAGTCCTGGTCCCGCCGCTGAGCACAGGCTACCCAGTGTGCAGAAGACATGGGGGGAGGGGAGAGGACTGAGCACAAAGAGGGGTCTGACCAGGAATGCGTCCCCACTCCCAACAGGAATGACTGGAAGGATGCCCAGCATCTAGCAGAAAACTAATCATTACCCATTCCTGCATTTCTCTTCCCAAGACACCTTTCCTAATCACATCTAGGCTGGGAGGGGAAGGGGGGGGGGACTCTCCTCCCCCACCCCCATCCCAGGCAAATGGGAACCTGAGTTCCAGGGAGGGACAGTGCTTACCCATGGATAACTGACAATTTCTCTGAGAGGCAAGATTGTAACCCAGTCCGTCTTCCAGACTCGGGATTTCCCTTCAAATAAGAGAACCTTGGTTCAGTCGGTCTTGCCCCAAAGCCCAGCATGCAGCAGGTGCTCAATAAATATTTGCCTATTTGAATTCTTGGGAGATCATTGACAATTGTGTCATCTGTGCTCCTACTCTGCAAAACAGTCTAATGTGGCCACGGGGTGAGGTTGGGGAAACCACTCCAGGCTTCCTTTTGCTTCCTATTCCATTGTCCCGCAGTGCTCATCTCCTGGAGATTCTCTTGTGTACCTTCAGTATTTCACACTGTGACTCAGCAGTCTTGGGTCCGATTTAGAAAGATCTGGCCGGGCAGCTCAAGGTAAGGAGGAAAATTCCTTGAGCAAGGCTGGAGGCTCTGCTCACCTAGTGGTGTGGGAAGAGGAAGATTTGTTTGCTAGCAGGGGAGCAGTGCAGAAACGCTTCCCCTGAGGAGCACTGTGCCCTTGAAGAGATCTGGGCTGGGCGGTGGAGGTGACTAGGCGCATTCACCTCATTGTGTCCTCCGCCCCAACGAGCAGCCCTTAAGGGGTCAAATACAAGTAGTCAGATTCATTTGCTTTTAGCCGCCGCCGCCGCCGCAATTTGCTTATTGTTCCCAAGCAACAGTCCTCCCCCCCACTTCCCTCCTTCCCGCGAGTCTTGGGCTCTAGGTTCATAGGGGGATAGTGAGGGGTGCAGACCACTTTCAGGATCCCCATCCGGTCCTCACGGCAGTGTGAAGCTCAGCCCCTGGGCAGAAGTGAAGCCAGAGCTGTGCGCCAGACCCCTTCCGCCCCCCACCATCTGCTTCCTCCTGTCGTCCTCAAAAGCCAGAGCACGTGCTCACCCCCTCTCGGGAGGGCGACCTGGAGGAAGGGGATTCCAGCCCGTGGTCCCCTAACCTCGTTCCCCTCCGGGGTCACGGGCACCTTTTCTCTCCCTCTCGCCTGCTCCCAGCCTTCCCTGCCGCCAGTCAACCGAAGAGGGCCCCAGGATTTTCATCCCCCTCCCAACCCGCAAGAGTGCGGGGAGCGGAGGCGTGGCTCCCGGCGCCATGGGGCGGGGTCTGCGCGGTTCCCACGCGCCGCGCCAGGCAGAGGGAGGTGTTGATGGGGCCCTACCTGAGCTGTGAGATATTAACCTTGTCGGAATCTGCGGTTTCCTGTATAGGGGAAGCTTTTTTCAGACTTTGAAGGCCCCCCTCCCCCACGACTCTTCTTCCCCACCCCCGCCACCCCAACCTTATGCAGATGTTCCCAAGGTCAGAGACCTGCCCAGAGCAAAGGGTAGGGGACAGAGGGGTGAGAAATTAAGCTGGAACGACCAAGCCGAGACCTAGTCGTGAACCTTGACCCTCGTTCCCACCCTGGAGTACACGCCCACTAGAAAGGTGAGGGAGGTGAGGTGAGTCTGGCCCTGAGAGAGCTGGATTCTGTATCTTAATCGTTTGCTTTTTAAAGTTTGTATTTATTAATATTTGGTGGGGGTAGGGGCAGAGAGAGAGAGAGAGGGACAGAAGATCTGAAGTGGGGTCACTGCATACAGCAGACAGCCTGTGATGGGGCTCAAACCCACCAACCATGAGATCATGACCTGAACTGAAGGTAGACACTCGACCCACTGAGCCACCCAGGAGCCCCCTGTATTTTAAATGTTGATGTTTGGTTCATCATAGATTTTCTTTCTTCTTCTTCTTCTTTTCTTTTCTTTTTCTTTTTTTTTTTTTTTTTTTTTTTTTTTTTTTTTTTTTTTTTTTTTTTTTTTTTTTTTTTTTTTTTTTGGCATTCACTTCGATTTTTTAAAATACTGCAGTAAAATATTATCTTGATTCCTGAACTTTTTGGTGCCCCCTTAAAATTTGCAGCCGAGGGGCGCCTGGGTGGCTTAGTCGGTTAAGCGTCCGACTTTCGCTTGGGTCATGATCTCGCGGTTCGTGGGTTCGAGCCCCGCGTCGGGCTCTGTGCTGACTGCCAGCTCAGAGCCTGGAGCCTGTTTCAGTCTGTGACTCCCTCTCTCTCTGACTCTCCCCTGCTCACGCTGTCTCTCTCTCTCTCCTAGAAATAAATAAAACATTAAAAAATAAATAAATAAATAAAATAAAATAAAATTTGCAGCCGAGTGCCTCATCAGCCTCTCCCTAGTCCCAGCCCTGCCACATGGCCAGGGACAGAGAGTCATAAACACAACTGAGAATGCACAGTCATGGGACAGGTGCTGGTGACAAATAGCCAAGCCAAGCAAACACACTTCCAGCAAACACCCATGGACACAGGGCCAGGGAAAGAGGGCTGTGAGTGAGATGGTGGGGCAGGCTTGGGTGGGGAATGGCAGGAGGGAGTCTGGAGCAATGGACAGTCTGAAACAGAGTGGGGTATCGGGTGGAGGTGGGGGTGCAGCTGGATCAGCCCTTCCCACCCTACTTCTGTGCCAGGGACCTGAGGTAGCTCAGGCAGGGAGAAAACCATTAGACTGGGCAGAAGGCGACAGGACTGGCTGGGCCTGACCAGAAAAACGCCCAGCACTGGCCTGTGTGAGCTGGGACCCTGATGCTGTCCACCAGAGGGCCCTGGCACCCGGCAACCATCTCTGGCCAGGGGAAGAGGCTCTGCAGGGGCGTGGATGCTGGCTGGAGGCCCAGGCAGGGTGAACGCCAGATGGGCTCGTCTCCAGCAATAACAGCTCTGGCTGTTGCCATCTAGTGAGCAGGCCAGGCCTCGGCGGGGGTGGGGAGAGGAAACGGCCTTCCACTGTCTGGCCTGGGACCCTCACCACTTCCCTCCAGTTTCTTTCCACTTCCAGCCCCCTCTGCACACAACTCCAGCCACTGGCGACCAGCCTGGTCATGCCTGGGGGATCTGTCTGACCACTGGTGCCTGCCACCCCCACAGGCCCAAAGATGGGAAATGAAGGTGGGGAGAGAGACAGGGGCCAAGGCAGAGGGGAGAGGACGTGGCTGAGAGAGGAAGAGAGAGAGACTGGACAAACACAGGATGGGAATGGGGGTGGGTAGACCCAGACATGAAGCTGCCCTCAAGCCGTGGGGCAGTGCCTAAAAAAATACCACCCCTACCCATCTTCCTGCCCTCTGTTTGGTTAAGGCCGGGGCGGAGGGGTGATGGTGTGTTATGTCTCGGTGAGGAGTGAGCCAGGAGGCTGAGAACATTCCTTCTGGAGTAGCTTGGGGACAGGCCACTGATCCTAAGTAGAAAAGCTACCCCTCCTCTCAGGGCCCAGTCTGTTCCCTGGCAAGAGGGTGACTCTGCCTTATCCTTATGATGGCAGTGCGCTAATTGTTAGTGTCCAAGGCTTCTTCAGGGGACAGGTCTCTTGGGTGGTTGGTGGGGGCAGGGGTGTGCCTGACTGAATGTTCTGTGTTCACACCTCTCCAGCTTTCGGACTGTCCTCCAGCACTGAGGGCTGCTACAGGGGCCGGATTCTCCTTCCCCCGAACTTACTGACCAGCAACAAGGGAGAGAATCATTCGGCCTCCCTTGGAGGTGCAAGTAGGACCCACCACTCCTCAGCATGCCCACCACTTCCTCCCCAGCCAGTCCAGGGGAGGATGTGGGGCTCCGCAAGGCTTGGCCTCTGCCTCTGGGTATCGGGACCATAGGATTCACTCAGGATGTAAGGCTGTTCTAGGCGTTTTCTCTTACCATCTCCAATTGTTCCTCAGCGTTTCCAAAGTTCTGGATTTAGAAAAAGTGAACCTAGAGGGGCCTACAAACCTGTGCCACTACCCCTTCTCCCCAAACCCCCACAGAGACACACACACACCCTCCTTGCCACAGTTGAGGGTGGTGTGGTGTGCGGGTGTTCAGGTCAGTGTGTTAGAGGTGGGAAAACCCACCACTCGGGTCACTGGCTATACTGATTTTGCAGAGGGATCCCTCCGGCACGGAGGCTGGGGGAGCAGAGGACAGGTCTGAAAGGAAGAAACTGGCCCTGAAAATGGAAGGGGCCTCTGCTGGAAAGGAAAAAGGTGCAGCGTAGGGGAAAGTGGCGTGGGAGGGGTTGGGAGAATTATACCGGAACGTCTGGGATGGAGGAGGGATGTGAAGGTACGGGTCTGAGCCGTAAGTTTGCTGCAAGGAGAGTCCGGAGGCGGTTCTGTAGGAGTTTCTGGAGCTGCGGTGCGGAGGAGACCAGGGGTACCCAGTGCGGGGCTGTATTCTCTAGCCCCGGGTGCTCCTTAACGGGGCAGGGCTTGGTGTCGCGGGGCCCAGAGGTCCCACCTTCAGAAATAACTCGAGGTATGGGCCGTGCATGCAGCCCCGGTGGGGCGTAGCCGGACGAGGATCTGGGGGGGGTGGAGAGGGGGGCCCACGTCCGCAGCGGCTGGGGTGGGGGAGCTGGGGCGGGGCGGGGCGGGGCGGGGCGGGGCGGGCTGAGGCTGCAGACGTGGGCCGGGGCGGGCCCAGCGGAGGGCGGGTTTGAATGTGCTGCCGCGGGCGCGGGAAGCTGCTGAGAGGGCGCGCGGAGCTCGGCGCGGTAGGACGCCTTCCTAGCAAGCAGGTGCTTCTCGGGCCAGGGGCCCGGGATGGAGGGGCGCCGGGCACCGCCGGGGCGGGAGGCGCCACCTCCCGCCGCCCCGGGGGGAGGGACGCTGGGCCT